GAGAATGTTGCCTGTATTTTTGGAATATTCTTTAGGGAACTTCTTGTGATTGATGGATTCCATGTAGAAAAATTTCGTTGACACATTGTATGAAGGGAAGTGTCTCAATATATTGAAATTCAGTTTGGTCAGAGGTGGTTTCAAACTAAATTCATCCTGCATACATTCATAGATGGCACTCCTATCCCCCTTTAGTTACACTTCCCCCTCCCTCTGAGTTGAGAAAGTATGTCTGCTTCATAAACACACATGCCATAAAGAAATGTGGATGGTACAATCTTCTTGAAAACCTTGGTTTATTGAATTATAATTTCCTGTCTGATAAAATTCTTCTTTAGTAGTTATTTGTTGTATCTCTGGGTGAGAATGATTGTCAGCATGGTCAGTGATACTATTGGGAAAACTGTAGGGATGTAGGTGGGTAAAGAGTGGCCATAGAAGACACAGAGAAGATGTAGATCATGTACTACATAATGACATTGGGGTCAATGATAGATTGAATATATGACAGCAGATTATATGGAGTATAAGAAAAAAGTTTGTTTGCGATATTGAGAGGAAAGGCTGAACCCTACTAAGATGTTGAATTTACTGGTAGTTCTGGGTGGTTTAAATAGACGAGAAGACTCAACATGTTTTCTATCCACCGTGTTCCTGCCCCAGGCTTGGGCCTGGAGTTGCCAGAAGGAGGAAGGGAGCATGGGAGATCACAACCCCCATACCCACCAACCCTCTGTTTCTCCTCACTCCCTCTCTCTCACCTCTTTCTTTTATTATTTCTCCTCTAGAGCTTTATTTCTCTGCATCTCTTTTGATCTATGCTCTCCCTTTTCTCCCCTTCTCTTTTTTCCCTTTCTCCATTCCTTACTCGCTTCTCCTAATGTTTTTTCTCTCTCAGACAGTGCTTTCCTCCACAGCCCTCCCCTAGCCCCCGCAATGTGTGTGTGCATGCATGTACGCACACACACACACGTACTTTATCTTTAATAAAATATTTTACTGTACCTTTCCTATGTTTAGATATGTTTAGATACACAAATAGTTACCAGTATATTACAATTGCTTAAAGTATTCAGTACAGTAACATGATATACAGGTTTATAACCTAGAAGCAATAGGCTACATCATAGGTATATAGTGGGTTATATCACCTAGGTTTGTGTAAGTTTGTACAATGACAGAATTGCCTAGCCATGTATTCCTCAGAATGTATCCCCCGCATTAAGTGATTCATGACTATATTTGGATAGGGAGGACAGAGCTCTGGCTCAGGCACACAGACATGAATTTTAGGAGCAGCTATCAGTGAACAGCTGTAAAGTCTTGGGCAAGTCAACGTCTCTGAACCCCAAGTTCTTCATCTGGTTAACGACTGGGTTGGACTAGAGGCTCTATAACATTCCTTCCAGCTCTATGACTAATAGGCTAAATCCTGGTCAGAATCTGGTCAGATCCACAAGGTTCCTGGGTGGTTCCCTTGGAGATGAGGCCATATTGCAATGTATAATAGGAAATGACACAGACTTGGTGTCAGACTCTCTAGGTTTTTATCTCTCAGAAACAGTTATAGTAGGCTAGTTGGTTTATGCTGCATGGTGAGACTGTATCAAGTAGGAGTTAAGAATATGAATTATAGCCGAAACCGGTTTGGCTCAGTGGTAGAGCGTCGGTCTGCAGACTGAAAGGTCCCAGGTTCGATTATGGTCAAGGGCATGTACCTGAGTTGCGGGCACATCCCCAGTAGGGGTGTGCAAAAGGCAGCTGGTCGATGTTTCTCTCTCATCGACGTTTCTAGCTCTCTATATCTCTCCCTTCCTCTCTGTAAAAAATCAATAAAATAAAATTAAAAAAAAAAAAAAAATATATATATATATATATATATATATATATATATATATATATATATAGAGAGAGAGAGAGAGAGAGAGAGAGAGAGAGAGAGAGAGAATATGAATTATAGCTGAAACCAGTTTGGCTCAGTGGATAGAGTGTCGGCCTGCAGACTGAAAAGTCCCAGGTTTGATTCTGGTCAAGGGCATGTACCTTGGTTGCGGGCACATCCCCAGTAGTGGGTTTGCAAGAGGCAGCTGATCAATGATTCTCTCTCATTGATGTTTCTAACTCTCTATCCCTCTCTCTTCCTCTCTGTAAAAAAAAAAATCTATAAAAATATATTTAAAAAAGAGAATATGAATTATGGGGTTGGACCTTAGTTTGAAAACCAGTTCTGCTGCTTCCTAGGGGTGCCTTGGGACAAATGATTTCACCTCTCTGAGCATCAGTTTCTGGGTCTCTAAGATGAGTACCTCATAGGCTTGTGAAGATGAAAGGCATTAATGTATTGTAAAGTACTTAGCTCAGCACCTGGCAAAATGGAAGTGCCCAGTCAGCCATGTCTATGACTACCACTCATTGCTATCAACATAATTCTCCTGACATGGGCATGTCTAAGTTTCATTATTTTTCCTGGATTTAGCTTTATCTTTCGGGATGGAATTTGAGAAATGTATAAACATATCTTTCTGGCCAAAGCATCTGTAGAGTAAGATCAGGGTTTAGTTCCTTGCTCTTCTTACAGGCTCTGGGACCTTAGGCAAATTATTTAACATCTCTGTCCTTATCTGTAAAATGCAGACAGATATAGTACCTACCCCCAAGGGTTGTGATGAATATAATGAATGTGGATAACTTAGTGCTGTGCCTGACATTTATAAGTCACTAAATAAGTGGTGGCTATAATACTGATAGTGAAAATAACCAGTGTTGTGAGAATAATGATTGCCTCCACTACTACTACCCTTGTTGGCATCGAGCTTTGAGTGTGTTCAAGTTTGTACAGTTTTTGCATACCTAACCAAAGTGTTAGGAGAGGCAGCTGTTCCTGTTCCTGAAGGGACAGCAAAAGAGTTGTTGCCAGACTTCACTGACAGTGGCTGGGAATTTAAAACTGAGTTGTTTTTGGAGGCACGAGAAAAATGATTCGGCAGACCATATTCTCAGCAGAAAAGTTCTATTTATTTCTGCCAGTCCCATTATATCCAAAAACTGTTGGGGAAAAATGTAATTCTAAACTGGCCCTGTACTTCTAAGACTCAATTTCAGTCGGTCAGCCAGGGCATGTTGTTCATAGGCTTCCTGGGGAGCATCTGGGTGCAAAAATGTAAGGTCTCTATTCTTTGTCAAGGTTGTCTTCATTCTCAAATGGATGCTAACTGTTCTTGAGCCTCTCCGTGGGTGTAACATTCATTTGATGGATAGATGTACAGGAAGCATGGGATTTCTCAGGAATAAGATGTTCGAGTAGGTAAAGTTGTATGGGACTGTAGAGGTATTAGTTAAATGGAAATTTTAAAAAACTGAAATCATCCTAATGGTTCTTGAGATGAATGCATTTACTGAGGGAGGGATATTAGATGTTTCTTTTTATGTCCCTCCGTTTTTCTCTTTAGTAGTCTGTTAAAAGTAAAAAAAGAGACAGAAAATAGCCAGTCACTGCAAGCAAAGCTAAGCTCCAGGTTTCCTGTCCTTCCCAGACCACTCCAGATTAGGAGGGTATTGGCCACTTTCAAAGGGAGTGTAGACTCCACCTCAGCAGGCACCTACCCTCTAGCCTGGATTTTCTCTCACTCTTGATTTTTCCCTTCTCCCCTTCCTTAATACTAACCACAGGTTTCAAAGATGTCTTCATAGGCATCTTCCAGCATCATCTCCTCTACATACCAGGTAGGCATTCTCTTTTTGGGGCTGGGTTCTGAGGTTATAGAAAAGAAAAATGGATTTCAATTTTGTACAGAGATTTAGGGGTAATTTCAGATATCTATAAAAACACTTCCTCTATTCTTCCCCCAGATTTCTTCTACTCAGTGCTCATCTTCACCCCTCATTTCAGATCAGTGCCTCTCTCCTCTTCTGTGTCCCTGGGCAAGTCTAGGTCTCTTTGTATAGATATAATAATCCAAGACTCTGGGGTAGCCTGAGAGCCAGATCCCTGGAGAGCAGAGATGAAATTATAATATTGATACTTGACCAGCATGGTGACTGGGGTCCCAGCAAACACTGAGAATGAGGGGCAAAATAAGAACAATAGGCCTTCAAGTCCTCACAGCTATTTTTCTTTAATGACTTTATTATATTGGGGGAAATCATATAGCTTATTATAAAAAGAAAATTTCCAATAAGACAAAAATCCAAAGAAAGGCACCTAGGCCTTTTATTTCTCTCCTAGTATATCACACCTATAGAAAATCACTGCTAATGTTTTAGTGATTTTTCTCCAAATATTCTGTGTGTGTAAACATCATGCTTCACATGCTATGTTCTGACTTCCCTTTTTCTTTAACCAAACATCAGGCTGTGGAAAACTTTTCATGTCAGTAAATATAAGTCAACAATAGCCCTTTTAATGTCTGCATAGTATTCCATTGTATAGATGTACCATACTTTATTTAGTTGTTTTGCATTGTTAGACATTTAGCCTGTTTCTAACGTTTAGCTATTGTACATAATAGTGTAAGTGGACAATCTCAAGCATCCCTTTTTGGGATACTTGTGTAATTATCTTTGGATATAGATAAAGAAATGAGTTAATTGGTTCACAAGGTTTCCATATTATCAAAGATATATATATATATATATATTGAGAACAAAAGGGAGAAGACAACCAAAGTACTCTCCATAAAGATTGTGCCAATTTGTACCTCCACCATTGGAAATTATAACTTTTAAGTGATATATAAATTATAACCTATACCCATTCAGACAAAGATCTTGTGTCAGCCAGTGCTGGAGTACTAGGTGATGGTATCCAAGGACTCTTTCTGTCCTTCATCTACTTCTCCTGACCACCAACCATAGTATGAGAAAAGAATTTCAGACTCAAAATAGGAATACTGTTTTATACTTTGTGAGAAAAAGGTCTCTATATAGGGTGTCCCTTCAAAATGGATACATACTTAACAGCTGATAGCTCGATTGATGTTTCTTTTCAGATTTAACCCATTGGAATTAATCATTATTCAAAGTGCGTATACATTTTTGGGGACACCTGTATTTTTTCTTCTCTGACTAACCACTTATCTAGCATTACCTTCAATAAGATCATCATCATAATCATCATCATCATCATCATCATCATAGACGTACTCATTGTCATCATTGGTATAAGTTGCTGGAAGCTGAACATCAGCTTTATAGTTGTAGTGAAGCTCAGTAGTGTTTTGAGTTCCATTTACCTCAGAACATTCATCTTCCTCCATGGGTTCATCTAAAGCAAATGTCACTGATACATTCTTTTTAGGTCTTAATCTTATGTCTTCTTTCTGTACAGCAAGGTGAAGGGGGGAAAGTCAGTTGGTTCCCAACAGTTTAGAAATTGGTCCCTGGGGTAATAATATTTAAAGAGCCATTTACCAGTAGGATTGGCTTTAGGGGCCTAGTTTCCATTGAATTTTGTCCTTCTTTTTCCTCCGTCATTTCTATGTTGGTAGAGAAGCTGGGGAACATAGAAAGGACAAAGCAATAGTGAAATTAGACACACTTCAAGCTCCTTAATTAAATTCAGCTGTTATCCCCTTCCTGCATATTTATTTGAACAATGAAAGGGACAACAGAGCAAGAGGACATTTCAGCCTTTTATCCCTCAAAACCTTGATCACCTTCTGTTTTCTTATTTTTCTTTTTCATATTCCTCTTCTCCCCAATATTTTCTTATTACTGGATCAGATAACTGCAAGTAGAGAATGTGGGGTGGCTCCAGGACATTTATATAGAGACTATTGCCTAGAAGTTCCTTAAGGGGCTTGTGTTCCTTTTCTTCTCCACATGGCAAATCAGGGAATAAAAATCCTGTTTTAGAAAAGCTCTAAATTGATAGTTTGACTTTCCCTTTCTGCAACTCATCCCACTAATGTGACCACTTAAGTTGTGCCAGGGGGAGGGTATACCTAACAATGTTGGAAAGTTTATGGTCACTGACTTAGCCTCATTTGAGCCAACTGATCTTGAACGATTTGGTCAGAACCACACAGAATCCAAGCATTTCCCAGAACTCCTTGCTTATGTTGAATATTGATTCCTGCATCTTTTTAAAAAATTATATTTTTATTGATTTAAGCGAGGAAGGGAGAGGGAGAGGGAGAAGGAGAGGGAGAGGGAGAGGGAGAGGGAGAGGGAGAGGGAGAGGGAGAGGGAGGGAGGGAGAGGGAGGGAGGGAGGGAGGGAGGGAGGGAGAGAGAGAGAGGAGAGAGAGAGAGAGAGAGAGAGAGAGAGAGAGAGAGAGAGAGAGAAACATCAAAGATGAGAGAAAATCATTGATTGGCTGCCTCCTGCATGCCCCACACTGGAGATCAAGCCTACAACCAGGGCATGTGCCCTAACCGGGAATCAAATTGTGACCTCCTGGTTCATAGGTAGACTCTCAACCACTGAGCCATGCTAGTTGGGCCTTATCAACCTAATAGAGGCAGCTCAGTACCTGACTGATGCACATTCATCTTCAGAGCCTCTGGTGTCCTTGGAGGTTGGGGTATTCGAGGTGAGTGACTGTTGGTGAGCACACAACTCTTCCTGTTTATTCTGAATGGCAGTTAACAGCCAGCGCAGCCCTTCAAGTAGGGGCTGATGGTTGTTTCTTTGGAGGTCTTGAATAGCTGAACAAGGTTCCTGTGACCAAAAGAACCTGAGATCACTGGGGATCAAATTCCCTTTCACTCTCAGCCAAGGAGCAGGGGTACACATAAGCTCTGTAGTGCCTAGAGAGGCTTTAAGACATCCTAGGAGAACTCGGTGCTCACACCTGAGAATGTAAGTAAAAGCTAAAAAAGCTAAGGTCATTTAATAAAGTGGTTGTGATATAATGTCTTAGATATGTGACTTTGGGCCTCATCCATAAAATTAGGATGTTGAAGCTTCCAGCTTTACAGAGCAATTTTGAAGGTCTAATAAGAAAACAGATGTGAGAGTGGCTAAAAGTGTGATATTATCATCACCGAGTCAGAAATCATCACTATAGATATTGCCTGGCAGGAAGAGACTTTGCCTGAGATCTAGCATATGGAGCTGATTGTGGAATGGCGCAAGGTATGCTTCAGCTGGGCTTGAGAGGGTAAAGGAGGGGAGGGGTTGACACTTACCAATCGGCACATGAACTTGTTGTCACTCATTATCCTTTCCAGGAATAGATTTTTAATAATATCACAAGGTAAGAGGGCATTATTCTTGTCTTGTTTATTTGCCAGTCTAGAGCAGGGTACAAGAGAGAGATTAGGAAGAAGAGAGGAAGAGTAAAACAAATGGAGGCAAGAAAAGAAGGGAAATAGGGAGAGAACCTATTATAGTACAATTGCTATATATTCAAGAACTAGCTTTAAAGACATACACAATGAGATGAACCAGACATTTTTTCTAGTCAATTCTCAATGGAGGAAAGAATAGCACAAATAATTTGAATCAAGATCACCCCCAGATCTAATTTCTCGCTTCATTTCTACACTATGCAATCGAACTTTAATTAGAATTACTAACTGGGATATGAACAGATTTGGAGTTTTTAAACAGCTTCTGCCAAACTCTGTTCATACTTGAGTTGGGGGTGCTAATGAGGAACAAAAAATGCAAAAAGGAGGTGGGAGTGATGATTGATTGGGCCATCTGAAGTATCACCCTGGAATCAGACATGACTCTTGGGTACTCTGTGAAGGGAGGAGGCCATTGGCATTATTATACAAAATAGAGGTGGTTTTCTACCATCATTTCAGGGGTATAGACTGAAGCCAAAAAAGAGAAACAAAGGAAGATAATCTCCAGAAACAGTCAAGGGATGGAGGTAGGAAATCCAGATATTACTCTCCCTTTCCCTTTGATGCTTGCTTTCAAAATTACATTTACACAATTAGGTAACATTTTCACCCATGGCAGTGTGTAGTAGAAAGTAGCTCTTAAAAACAGACGCCAGAAGACTGGGTTTCCCCCTCCACACACACACTGAGCTAAAGGAAAGAGGATCTAGCTGTATGTAAGTGACAAAGGGACCATTCATCTCTTCCTTTGTCTACTTGTCTTCTGAAGGCACAAAATGGGAAGGGGGAATTGAACACAAAGGCAGAGGCTTACAGTAGGATGGGTTTTCCTGCCACTCTTGCATCAGACAGCAGATGTGATAAAGTGGTCTTCACTTCCTGCATGCGTCCTAAGTCACTGGAATCCAGGACAAAAACAAGCCCGTGTGCTTGTGCGTAGTAGTTGGGCCAGATTTCTCGTCCCTTCATATCTCCATTCAGATCATAGATAGAAACTTCATATTCATCTAGCAGAACTGTTGTCAGTTTAGATTTCATATAACTGTGTATCTTGCTAGGAAGTACTATGCATAAGGGAAGAGAGGAGAAGCAACCACAAAGCAGAAGGATATAGTTAGATGAAAGAATTTGTTAAACAAATGTTGACTAGAGCCTGTCCTGAGGAATGCTACTGAAGGATCTTGCCATCCTGTTCACTCATGGATTTATTTTCCTAAACCAGCACTTTTCTCAGGTGACCCTCTCCTGGCTCAGTAATCTTCAGTGAGTGGCCACTGCTCCCAGGAGAGAATACAGACTCCTTTGCTTCCTAACCTGCCAGCCCTATCCCTACCCTGTCTGGTGTCCACAGTGTCCCTGGTACACACCCAGTCTTTTCTTCCCTTTTCTTTCTTGGCTCACTCTCCCTCCACTACACAAGAATGCCATTCTCTTTTGTGCCCTGGGCCTTCACAAGATGCTGTTTTCACAGCTTACAACAATTCTGACACTGCTCTTTCCTTGGTTAATACCTATTTATATATATATATATATATATATATATATATATATATATATATATATATATATATATTATTGATTTTTTACAGAGAGGAAGGGAGAGAGACAGAAAGCCAGAAACGAGAGAGAAACATCGACCAGCTGCCTCTTGCACACACCCCCACCAGGGATGTGCCTGCAACCAAAGTACATGCCCCTGATCAGAATCGAACCTGGGACCTTTCAGCCCGCAGACCGACACTCTACCACTGAGCCAAACTGGTTTCAGCTAATACCTATTTTTAAAAATCTATTTAGATCTTGTTTCCTCTAGAAATTTTCCCCTAACTCACACTGCCATCCACAAGTTTGGATAAGGTACCTTTCTTCTGGGCTTATCACTATAATAGTACTTATGACAGTGTTATAAATTCAACAATTTACTAATATGGATTATACACTGCAATAGTACAGGGACCCTTTCAATTTTATTCACTGCTATCTATATTCACGATGCCAAGGGCAGAGGTGTTCAGTAAATATTTGTTGAATGAGTTTGATGAATGAATGAATAAATGAATGACCAGGAGGTCTTCTCTCCTACCCCTTTTTCAAGGCTCAGGAAGGCTTCTTTAGAGAAGCTTCTCTGACCAGCCCAGCTCCACTTTCTCTCCCTCGTTGAGCACATGGCCTGTTAAGCTGGTCATTTGCCTCACTGTGCATGCCATATCTCCCCAACTAAAATAGTGAAGAAGGGGCTCTGCATTAGTTTACACTCAGTAGGTGTTCAATGCATGTTTATGGTGCCTGTTATTGTGGGTAAGTATGAAGTACTTTTCATATCTCTCCTAAGAAACCATACCAAATTCAGATACATATGCCCTGTCAAGACCATGGACAGATCATACAGTCCCATAGGGCATTCCATACCTAGTCTGACCCCCATAGAAGTGCAGTTCAAAAGGACAATTGTTCTACAAATTCCAGCCCATTGAACTGAAAGTTCTGACCTAGATTTCTGTCCACATAAGCAGCAAAATGATCTTATAGGTTCTCTATACTCAGACTTGGGAGTTCTAAGACCAGAATTAGTAGCTTTCTATTTCTAATCTCAGATCTATATGTGACATTTTCCATAGGATTGCCAGAATGAATCATTTAGCCGAGAAGTTAGTAAAATGGTTTCAAATTTTTGGTAACCTAGTATCATATAGACATTTACATGTGTATATATTTATATTTATGCATATATTATCATTATTACATCTTAATGTGATCTTATAACTTCTGTTTTCATGTAAGTCAATGCTCTTTTTAATTATAGCTTTCAGATAACATACATTTTTAAGTTACAACTTTGATGTGCTATTTTCTATGTCTGCACTAGGCTACTTAAAATAATAAGTGAATAAAGATAGTTTTCATTTGTTTCCAGCATGAAGGAAAACTTTGTTATTTTTCCCTGTCTAGTCAAAACATTTTCCTTAGTTATTTTTTCTTTTTACTTGAAGCCTTACCAATTCCTTCAATAATGCAATCTATTGTTTGTTTGTTTTATTTATTTATTGCTTAAAGTATTGATGCAATCTATTGTTGGCGAACTCTAGAAGCCATGAGAAGTTGTTGTTCCCTGACACTTTACATTTCTCTTATTTCCTCTATTAATTCATAAACTCCCTGAGGACAGGTAATGAGTCTAATTCATCTCTATATCCTGGTAGAGTATTTCATAAATCACAATAGTCTGAGTACTGTCAGCTTCTGAGTTAAATGGTAGTGATAAAGTCCTATCCTACATCAATTGAATCAGAATCTCTATGCTGGGACCCAAGTATTTGCATGTTTAACAAACTCCTGTATTTAACAAAATCTGTAGGTGATACTTCTGCACTTTAAAGTTTGCGACCCACTATCCTAGAGAGCAAAGAAATCCATGCCTGTTGTGTCTCACCATCATCTGGTGCTGCTTGTTAGATTTTGATTCCATGCCCCCAACCCCCAGTTCAAAGTATCTGAGCCTCCAGGTCCCACTAATTAAGTGTAAAAGAATCCCACATTATTCTGATTTTTGGCTTTCAGTACTAATTATGCTTAAGATCACCTATGGAGCTTTTAAAAACCTTCTCTGAGGTTTTGATGCCATAGATCTGGGGTGGGGCTCAAGCATCATGTTCTTTTTAAAAAGCTTCCCAGGTTATTGAAATGTATAGCCAGATTTGAGAGGCACTGCCCTAAATTTACTCATTTAGGGTGGCTGCTTATGCTCATCCTTGGGTTTTTCACCCCATGTGACCTTTCCAGACAAAACAGTTATAGTATATGGCGTCATTGAGAACAATGGTTTCTGATCGCAGATAGTTTATAGCTTCAAAGTTACTACTTATAATAACACAAGTTACTACTTATAGATTGGGATTTCCTTCCTAGGCTATAATCTGTTATCTGAAATCATAAACATTTGCAGGAACAGGAGAGGTACACAACAGCATATTGTGTACAGAGCAGCCTAATAGATTGACTGTAGTAGCCCTGTACGGACTGAGACATTCCTTAGAATGTGACGTCAGTGGAACTTTGCTTCTTGGCCTTTAGAAACTTCTCTGTGAGCGAATTTACAACTCCAGGCTCTATCCTCTAGGAATCAGAATGGAAAGCATATACTATTCTCAAAGACAAAATAGCATATGGCTAATTACAGATGAGTGCTTCCCAAAGCTGGCTGCCCATCAACAACACCTGGTGAGTTCTTAAAATATAGATTCCCTGGCCCTACCCAGGTAGATAATGGAGAAGACAAAATGCTAGGTAGTGGGACAGCATTATAGAAGGCATAGGTATGTGAAATAGATCAGTATGATGGCAGAGGAATGGCAAGTCATTTGTTTTGGCTCTATCAGGTCACATGCAGAGAGCATGAGAAATGAAGCTGGAAGAGAAATCAGAGACCAAATCATGGAAGACCTTGTGTGCCTCTACACAACTTAAATTTTATCATATTTTAATACAATGGGGAGGCATTGAATGCTTTTGAGCAGAAAAAAAGAGCCATTATCAATTTTTAAGTCCTTCAGGCAACTGTGTTGATTGAATGCTAGGGGGACAACTAGAGATGGAAAGATCAGCCAGCAGCCTGTTGCTGTAGTTCAATAAAATTGATGCAGTTTTCCAGTACACCAGTGGGAGAGGAGTCAGGTTAGCCCTTTCCTAGACTTTGCTGAAGGCTTCTAAGTGATATAAAATTCAGCCATATCATCATACCCCTACTTTTATTTAATAAACATCAATGGAGGGCATCATAACCAGCCTGTGTGCTGGGCTCTTTGACTCACTAGCATTTAGCTGTGTCTTCACAACTAGAACAGTAGCTCCCTGCAATTCTGTGTAACTGCTGCTTGAAATGTCAATGTATTAAACTAGAAATCTGGTATTAAACTTGCATATCTCTGAACTGACAACATTTCTCAAGTTCCTCTATATTAACTGTCATAAAGTATTTAATGTCATTAAACTTCTTAAGAGCAAATTCTACTTTAATTGAGCTCTGAAACTAGACACTTTTTCAAACATGCTATCCTTCATAATTGACTGCAGTGCTTTACATAATTTGTCATTCATACTGACACTATATGAGGATGTTCAATTAGAATATCTTGTAAAGGGAGATGGTGACAGACATTACATGAACAAGGTGAGGGTAGGATTGTGTATATGTGTTGGAAAGTGCTTATTTATCTTCAAAAGAGGGAACCTGAGGGCTGTGAAGTAAGGTTAGAAAGGAATAATTATTTCATTTGTCACTGGGGCCCACGAGAGACTTAAACCAGTGTCTAAATGCTCCTAGTTCCTTACGTCTGTGGAAGGCATCCACAAAAACAGTTTTTCCAGCATTCTCCAGACCGATGATGATGATGGTCACATTCCTATTAATGGAAAAGAAAAATGAGCCAAAGCCTTAAAAGCAGTCAATTCTTCTTTTTTTTAGTCAATCTTTATTGTTATTATTACAAATGTTCCTCATTTCTTCCCCCCTCCACCAGGTTCCCACCCCACCCTCTGCCCTTTCCCCACCCCCATTGTCCTCATCCATGGGTGCACAGTCTATGTTCAGTCTCTTCCCGCATCCACCGCTCCCCTTTTCCCCGAGAATTATCAGTCCACTCCCCTCCCGTATCTCTGATTCCATTATAATCAACAGTTGATATTGTTCATCAGGTTTTTTAATTTCCTTGGTTTTTTTAATTAATAAACTTTTATAGTTTTAAGAATAAATTTTAAAATCTAATAATTTTAAACCTTGTTTTTTCTGCCCTGGGAACTGAGAAGCAAACTTGTTTACATGTAAACTTGCCCTTAGGCTATCAAAAGGTGTAGCCATTCAAATGTAAATGAACACATTGTTTAAAGATAGCTGCTGGCTGGAATTGGATTACCTGTTCTGGGTGGGAAGGGCTTGTCCTCCCCTTTCTCCATTAAAATTAAGGTGTTAACTTTAAAACCTCTTTTTGGCTAGAGACATTAAACTTTTAGAACTTTAAATTTTTCAGGTAGTAAATCAATTACTTAGTATTTTCTCAAATCAATAATACCTCCACATGCCCAAGGATACACTTCACACAAAAGACACTTCCAAATACATCAACCAACCTCATCCAGACCCCACACAAGGCACTCAGATCAACACCCCAGCACTACAACAACTCAACACATCCAGATCTAAGCCTTCATCACTTGCTTCAGCAGACCCTCAAGTTCCCCCCAAAGTTTCCAGCCATGTCTGAGAAGCAGCCCTGGGGCATGGGCAGGTGAGGAGCGAGCTGTTACGGCCCGGCTGCTCCGGGTCTGGCCTCTATTGCTCTGGGCTGCTCCACAGCCAGCTGCTCCGGGTCTGGCCACTGCTGCTTGGGGCCTGGTTGCTGCTGCTCTGGGCCTGGTTGCTGCTGCTCCGGGCCTGGCTGCTTCCGACCCGACTGTTCTGGGCCCGGATGCTTCGGGCCTGGCCGCTCCACAAAAGCAGTCAATTCTTAAGCTAAACAAAGAAGTCTACTCTTCCTTGGTATATGGGGATCTTCCTACAGTAGTCCCAATATATGTACCATAAAAGGCACAGCCAAGGTTGTAGAAGGTTATATAGGAATCTCTTCCCAAGGTCTCCAAAGATGTGTTTCTTCCTGAGTCACTTGCCTTGTCCTCAATCTTGCACACACTGACTAATCACTTCCCCTAACAATATACAGTATATCTTGATTTGTCCCATAAGGGACTGTGGGAAGAAACATTGGAGGAAATGGTGGAATAGGTCTAGGGTAATAATTACAATATTACCTTCGAGTTCTATCAGTATTTAGTTGAGGCCAGCAGGATGTCACTAGCTTGAACATGATTCAGCTTTGTTCTGTAATATTAAGGGAAACAAGCAAATAAGAAATCAGCCCCATTATTAACATTGAACTTGTCAGCTTATGACTACATAGGTGCTGATAAACAAAAGCTTGGACTGACAGAAGTCCATTACTTTATTCTAGCTACCTTATCTATAAATGTCATAAAGTGAGGAGTGGGTAATCCTCAATTCTATTGGCATATTCCTGCAAAATGGGATGGTTTCTTGTTAAAGCAATCTATGCAGGCATGATGGCATCAGGTATGGCCTTCCCTTCATCCATAGATCATCCCTGTTGGGAATATCTTAATTCAACAATAGGTGGGGTGGGGTGAAGCCTTGGAGAAGAACGAGCTTAGATTTCAAGGACCTATTTATTGGGAAACCTGTTCTAAGTGACAACCATCTACTGTGCTTGGTTCTCTTATTGCCTCTGGTTAAAAAATGTTGGTGACCATTGTCATAAGTTTTATAAAATTCCTAGAGTTATAAGGGACCTTAGAGATCATCTAGTCTAATAGATAGCAAACATCAGTCCAGTTGCCCCACTCTCAAAGATTCCCAGGGAATTTCATAATCTCTCCAGGAGTTTTCAAAGTGCAACCATATTTGTAAGTGAATGTTTAAGTAAAAAGGATAATTTAGACAATCACCTCAAGGTTCATCCATGTTGTAGCATATATTAGTATTTTTTTCCTTTTTATGGATGAATAATATCCCATTGTATGGATATACCACTTTTTGTTTATTCATTAGTTTATGGACATTTGGCTCTTGTCAATAATGCTGCTATAGACATTTTTGTACAACTTTGTCGACATATGTTTTCAGTCTTCATGGATACATGTACTTAGAAATGTAGTTGTTGGGTCATATAACTCTACATTTAAACTTTTGAGGAGGTGCCAGACTGTTTTTCCAAGTGATTGCAACATTTCACATTCCCACTAGCAGTGCAGGAGGGTTCCAATTTCTCCACATTCTTGCCAACACTTGTGGTCTTTTGTTTATAGCCATCCTAGGGGGTGTGTAGTGGTATGTGATTGTGGTTTTGATTTACATTTCCCAAATGACTAATATAATAGAGCTCAGAGCTGGGGGAACTCTGGTTGAGCTACCAAAGTATTTCAGCTGATCCTCAGATGGGCTTTGCTTAGCTCTCTGATGAGCACACTGTATGTTCCAGTTTATCATTGGATAACATCAGAGTCATCCACTGTTTTGGAGAATTGTCATTCCCAAATAGGGACTCAACATTTTATAACATTTCTTAGAGTACAGTTTGTTCCCTAGGAAATCATTTGGCTTCCTTTAAGAACCTCCTGGAGAGTGGCTCTGGTTTATGCTAGACAAAAGGGAAACCATATATATGGCCTGTGATAAAAACTTTGTTCATAAAGCTGATAAGACCTTGAGCCTGAATCACCAGAACCTGACTGTCTGGGTTCGGACAGTAGGCATCTCTCTTTGAGACAAGGCCAGTAGCAGCTTCATGTCTATATCTTTACAATGGGAAGAGCCTCCGAACTTGAGCTAAGGCACTCTGTATTTGTTAGTGCCACCAGGAAAGGTCAAACTGGCATTATACAAGTTCTTCCTTAAAACTTATTCTAAAGGGAGATCCAAGATGGTGGTGTAGGTAAATGCCTATACTCACTGCCTCCCATAACCACATCAAAATTACAACTAAAATACAGAACCACCATCATTCAGAACCACCTGAAAGCTGGCTGAATGGAAGTCCTCCAACAAAAGAAGTAAAAAGAAAGCACATTGAGACTGGTAGGAGGGGTGGAGGCGCTGAACAGGCTGGTCTGATACCTAAATGTGCCACTTTTTTTTAATCTGGAGGGAGATCATCTCTGTGGAGGCCTCTCGTAAGAAGCAAGGGGGTCCCAGCCCCACAACAGACCCCCATCCCAGGGTCCCAGAGCTGGGAAGAGAAGTCCCCACAACTATGGCTGTAAAAACCAGTGAGGATTGAGGATGAGAGACATGTAGGCTGCTGGAGACCCAGCTGTTCCTTTTAAAAGGCCAGCACATGCACTCAGACTTGATACCTCTAAGCTCCAGCACCAGGTGCCTCTGGGAGACCCAGACACATATAAAGAGGAGCTGGACTGTCTGGCATCAGAGTAAGAACTCATGGGTGGCTTTCATCTAGAAGGGTTGCTTGCAAGGGTCATTGTTCCTGTGCTGGGACCTCCCATGCCACAAGGCTGACTGGCAGTCATAGCTGAGTCTCAATCAGCCTGGAGAACTCTCTTAGCTCCACTGTGAGGACTACCTGAGACCTCATCCAATTTGCATCCCCATCCAAGCTGTTTGCAGCAGTTTTGCCTTATGAATGGCCTGTCCTGGCTAAAAATCTCTCAAACAAGCTGCAGCTGAGGGCAGAATGCCTCAAATCTATCTATAAAAGGCCCAAGACCCATCACCAGCCTGCCTTGCTTCACAGCTGGGCCTCACTTTCTGCACGGCAGTTCTCCCATTGTAGTTGCAGCTACTCCTCACAGCCAAATTGGCCTATACGTATACTTCTCCCAGAGATGCCAACAGAAATCAAGGCTCAACTACAAAACTGCACACAGCCCACAGAGGGGAACACACAGGGGGTGCACCTAGACTGCCCAGCTCAGGTGGCTGGGGAGGCTCAGCCACTGGGCCCTACAGGACACTCTTCCAATTCCAGGAGACATAACATCTCTGCCTAATAAATTGAAACAAACACAAGGAAGCAGCCAAAATGCGGAGACAAAGAAACATGTCACAAATGAAAGAAATGGAAGCAAGCATACTACTGGATACAGAGTTCAAAAACCATGGTTATAAGATTACTTTAAGGATCTTGATGAGACTTTCAAGAATCTTAGAAGGTCAAATACATGAAAAAAGACCAGACAGAAATTAAGCATATACTAAATCAGTGCTCCGCAAACCGCAGCTCGCAAGCCACATGCAGCTCTTTGGCCCCTTGGGTGTGACTCGGGGTTAGAACACTTCTTCCAAATAGACTCGCCCAGTCCGAAAACTGACTTCTGTGCATTGGCCAAAAAGTTTCAATCGCACTGTAAATGCATGCCCGCACATGGTATTTTGTTGAAGAGTCACACTCAAGGGGCCAAAGAGCCACATGTGGCTCGCGAGCTGTGGTTTGCCAACCACTGCACTAAATGAACTAAAAAGAACAAGTTATAGGGGATTTAGATTGTTGAGGTCTAAGCCCTGAAGGGCCTGGCCAGTGGCTGGCTGTGGGAAGGTTTGGGATCTCCAGGCTCTGTGTAGAGGGAAGGCCTTAGGCCACTGGAATTGCTGAAAGGGGTTAGATGGAACCAAGGGTCTGGAGCCAGAGAACCTAACCCTGGCCTGTGGGTCTGCACAACGTAGCCCAGAAGGAGCTCAACCTCCAGGATTTGGCATATTTGCAGAGGGACTCACCAGAGCACATGCCCTTTTCCGTGTTGCCCTGGTGGCCAGAGTGTGGAGCTGGTCTCCTGGGAGGGTCCTGAGGATCCTGGGTAGGTATGATCAGGAATAGAGTTGAAGGGTGAGGCAGGCAGACAGGGCTGCAGCCAGGGCCCAGTGTTCTTCCTAGAGGTCTGTTGAACCCTGATTAGAGCTGGCTCTGCAGGGCTATCCTGGTGCACAATTCCCTCCCTCTGCATGTCCTTACTTAGCAAGGTTGGCTCTGGATCCTGTTTGCCCTCTGCCAAGTCCAGGGATTGAATTAAGCCTTTTCTACCAGGGCCACCAGCTGAAGAGCCCCCAGGCCCCCATTGCCCCTTCTTTCCTCCTGCCTCCTTCCCCCCTCCCCTTGGCCCTAGCTTGAACCAGCCTCTTCCAGAAGGTAAGGTGATTGCAATCATTTAGAAGTCTGGAGGTTTCCCTTGAGCTGGTGTTGGCATTGTCCTAGGTGGGGTAGTCTACCATATCAGCTCTGGGATCTTGGGAATTTCCTTGACCTGTGTCAGCCTCTATTTCTTATCAATCAGATTGTGGTAATAAAAGAGCCCTCATAGAGTGGTTATGAGAAATGGAAAGGGTATAAAACTCATTTAGCAGGCCTTGGTTTTATTAACTTCTTTTTTAAAATATGTTTTATTGATTTTTTACAGAGAAGAAGGGAGAGAGATAGAGAGCTAGAAACATCATTGAGAGAGAAACATGGATCAGCTGCCTCCTGCACACCTGCAACTGGGGATGTGCCCACAACTAAGGCACATGCCCTTGACCGGAATTGAACCTGGGACCCTTGAGTTTGCAGGCCGACACTCTATCCACTGAGCCACACCAGATAGGGCTTATTAACTTCTTTAGGCCAAGAGTTTTGGGGAGCAGAGACAATAATCACCTTTTATTTTTGGAGTCCCCTATTTTGTGTGTTCACTAGAAATTTGTTTACATGTGAATGTTCCTGCCTGGTCCTCGCCTCTCCAAGTGGCTGGGGTGGGGCCAGGCCAGCCAGCAGCCAGCCCCCTCAGACAAAGACCGCAGCCCCTAGTCCCCCATCCCTACTTCATCCTCAACCACTCCTGGGAGAAAGCCAGCTGCCTGAGTACTGCTCCATCTACTTGTGCATATTCATTTATACAGTAGCATTCTCTGCCTGTACATTTAGGTGGCCACATCTACTGGGATTATAGATACCAATTGTCCTTGGTATATATTAGGCCCTGTCCTACGCACTTTCCATAGTCATATTCTCCACTTGAGAGGCTGATACAGTGCCTAGCTGGTTAATGTCAAATTGAGATTAGAACTGTCAACATAAGAAACATGCAAATCTACAGGGAATTTTTGTGAGTTTATTTGAACCAAACTATTGACAATTGCCAGGAAGCACAATCTCAAGGGATTGAGAAAATGCTCCAGAGAATGGCAGTTTTGCACCTTATTAAAACATGTGCATGCACACACACACACAGACACACACACGTTACAGAATTCAACAGTCGAGTAGAAGATTCCAAGAATCAAATCAATAATTTGTCATATGAG